TTGAGTACAGTGAACTCATTGTCATATTCAAGAAACCAGTCTGAGATGATTTGCACTTTATGACATGGTGAGTTATCCTGCTGGAAGTAGGCATCAGAAGATGTCTTAGCTGACAGGAGTGGCACCCGGTGTGGTCTTCTGCTGCTGTAGACCATCCGTCTCAAGGTTGGATGTGTTGTGTGTTCAGAGATGCTCTTCTGCAGACCTCTGTTATAACAAGGGGTTGAGTTACTGTTGCCTTTCTATGTTGCTTTGCTGGAACCAGTCTGGCCATTCTCCTCTGACTTCTGGCATCAACAACGCACCCACAGAACTGCCACTCACTGGAAACTTTCTCTTTTTCTGATCATTCTCTGTAAACCCTTAAGATTGTTGTGCATGAAAATCCCAGTAGATCAGCAGTTTCTGAAATACTCAGACCAGCCCATCTGGCACCAACAACCACGCCACGTTCAAATTCACTTAAATCCCCTTTCTGATGCACGATTTAAACTTCAGCAGATCGTCTTGACCATGGCTGCATCCGAAACCGCATATTTCCAAACTATATAGTACACTAAAATCAGTATGAGAGCCGAGTACTAAGTCCGAATTCAAAGAATTCGAAAAGCAATATGTGAGAAGTACCCGGATGACTTACTACTTTCGGCGAGATTCTGAAGTGCGCATCCCATGCAAGTTGTGCTATCCCATGATGCCCAGCAAGAGAATTCATGAATGGGAGTGAAGCGACGCAACTGACGCAGGTAGGTCACGTGATGATGAAAAAATGGTGGATGTAGTATGTCCGAATTCCATTCATGATTTTCACATTCATACTGTATAGAACCACGGGCGTAAATCCCGGGGGGACGGGGGGGACATGTCCCCTCCCATCCGAGGGTTGTCCCCCTCAAACAAAAATATTATTTAAAAAAAAAAACTCTCAATTGTGAAAATATATGTGTGTGTATACCTAAAATAATTTGCTAAGTAGAAAGAAAACCGCATTCGTCATTTAAAATGCATTTAGAAACAGTTGAGCTCCCCCTCCCCTTCTTTAGAGTGGTTCGGTCCACTTTGTGCTTAGCCAGCTTTTCTCACATACTCAAACACAAGCACACCTGAGGTGTGCGGCTGCGGCTAAGTAAATGTTGAATGTCGGTAAGTAAGTAGGAGATCTTATCCAACCTAAATAAAGCGATTCTCTTCAATGTAGTTACTAAAGACTCGTTCATAAATAATTTGCAGCAAAAATGCTGATTACCGACGTAATTGTTCATAAATATGCTGTATTAGCGGTAAAAAAAATTACTTATTTAGTTAGCGTTAGCTTGTCGCAACGCCAAAGCCGTTGCATTGTCATGTAATGCATTTCTCATGCATTGTTTTATTTGTGACGACTTGGCATAATGTTAATTTAACATTAACGACCACAATTAACATATTGTTTAGCTGTGTATTTGCTAAATGAGCACTGTGCTACGTCATGTCTAACCCCACAGTATTTTTTTTTTTTTTTATTATGCTTTAAACAACATATACATGACAATACAGCAAACAAAACAATGCCAGGGTGATAGAAAGTAAATGATAACATCAATACATAAAATAAAATAAAACAAACATAAAAATAAGAGTATAAATACTTAACTAAAAATTCTTACAAATATAAACAAGCAGGACCTTTACATTAATCAAATATTTTGAAACTAGAGCACAGTTGGACAGTTTTAATGACCTTTCGATTAGCACTATGCTGAATAGTGCAAAAGTAATTTTTCAGTTCCTTATAAAACACAGTAAAACAAGGTTTTTTGTTGGAAAATTTACACTTATGAATATGAAACTTAATTAGCAAAATAAATAGGTTAACAACAAAAGCTTCATTATTCAAATTATCATAATTAAAATACCCAAAAATTACATTTTCATAATGCAAATTAAAGTTAAAGAGTACCCTTTTCTTTATAAAAACAGAAGCATCATACCAGAGCTTTTTAACATAACCACAGTGCCCGAAAAGGTGGGGTACAGTTTCCAAATGCAAAGAACAAAAAGAGCAATTTATATCAATAGCCTTTTTAAATTTACTTAGGAAATGTTTAACCGGATAGAATTTATGAATTATTTTAAAAGATATTTCTTATCTTATTTGTAACCAAAAATTTGTGAGGCAATGACCAAATACTTTCCCATTTAGGAATTCTTACAAAATTATTCCAATAGGTAATAGAGCAAGGTTTAGATACAACTTGATTTACAAATAGAGAGCGAATAGATTTGTTATTTTTAGACTGTGAGAAACAAATTTTACCACACAGTGTATCAACTAGATTGATTATGGGCTTATGAATCCAAGTTACACCTCTAAATAAGGAAACAATATTAGAATTAATTGCAGAGAAAACAAGAGAAAATTCCTTGGGAGTTACAGGAAAGTTAAAATGTACAAGAAACTCGTCATATGTCATAAGATACCCTTGAGTGTTAAACAATTGACAAACTAAAACAATACCCTTTTCAAACCACCTCTCCAAAAAGATACTCTCAGCAAGAGAATTCATGAATGGGAGTGAAGCGACGCAACTGACGCAGGTAGGTCACGTGATGTTGGAAAAATGGTGGATGTAGTATGTCCAAATTCCATTCATGATTTTCACATTCATACTGTATAGAACGCACTTTTCCAACGGCCGAGTAGTACGTTTAAATTCAAATGCGGTACCTACTGATTAGTAGATGGTTTCGGACGCAGCCCTTGTCTCCATGCCTAAATGCATGCTGAGAAATTTGCATTAACGAGTAGTTGGGCAGGTGTCCCTAATAAAGTGGCCGGTGAGTGTAAAATTTGTAGTAAATTGAAACTGTTCAGTTTTCAGAGTTGAGTAAATGTTTTTAACCCATCTGTGCTGTTGGGGGTGTTTTCATCCATTCCGGAGTGATTTTGAGTCTTTATTTGGCCATAACATTTTCCGCATTTTAGCAAAAGGAATAATTTTTGTTGACAAATCTTATTTTGACATGTTTTGGGAAGATGCTTTGAAATGATACACACAAATGTTCTTCCTTTTTTCATGTTCGGGATCCATTAGATTTATTTGCTGTAAAAATCCATCAGATAAATATTTTTTTCAGATTTGTCTTTGCATAAATCTGTTAATCAACCTCAGTCCTGATCAAAACTACTAAATTGCTTAGAAACTGACAGGATTTTAACTCTTTAAGTGTCAAATTCATAAATGATGTCACTGATTTGGTGAAAAAAAAGCACACAAAAAGACGCATTTTCAACATAAAAAGTAATTGTGGGCTGGATTTTTTAACCTCTTATCACAGTCTTGGACATGTGAAACAACTTTGGCTTTGATGCATTGTTTTTGACTGATTTTCATTTTTTTCTCCCTAATTTACTGTTGGTGGCTGTTTTTGCCCCATTGACTTCCATTATAACCACATTTGTTTGATTACAAAACCATGACACCATATACAGTAATTAGGCCCACACGGAATCTGCACGTGTAGAATTCAGCAGATTTTTAGCCCATCATTAATTCTGTTTATTTACTTGAGTAAAAGTGTGTAATCTATATTCAGTTTTTAAAATAATTACAGTAATATTATTGACTTATATAAAAATGTTCATTGATTTATGTACAATGCAGTTTGTACAGTAATATTTTCTGGCTTTTAGTAGATCTATTAAATGAGAGACTTGCTTCGTTTTCCAAATACAGTGAATCTAATTTTATTTGCATTTAAACTTTAAATAAAATGTAAAAAAAAAAAAAAAAAAATATATATATATATATATATATATATATATATATATA